GGAGGAATGTATAACAGCTGCAGGAACAGCTGGAGGAATGTATATAACAGCTGGAGGAATGTATAACAGCTGGGAGGAGGAGGATGTATAACAGCTGCAGGAATGTATAACAGCTGGAGGAATGTATAACAGCTGGAGGAATGTATAACAGCTGGAGGAATGTATAACAGCTGGAGGATTGTATAACAGCTGGAGGAATGTATAACAGCTGGAGGAATGTATAACAGCTGGAGGAATGTATAACAGCTGGAGGAATGTATAACAGCTGGAGGAATGTATAACAGCTGGAGGAATGTATAACAGCTGGAGGAATGTATAACAGCTGGAGGAATGAATGTGTATAACAGCTGGAGGAATGTATAACAGCTGGAGGAATGTATACAGCTGGAGGAATGTATAACAGCTGGAGGAATGTATAACAGCTGGGATTGTATAACAGCTGAGGAATGTATAACAGCTGGAGGAATGTATAACAGCTGGAGGAATGTATAACAGCTGGAGGAATGTATAACAGCTGGAGGAATGTATAACAGCTGGAGGAATGTATAATGTATAACAGCTGGAGGAATGTATAACAGCTGGAGGAATGTATAACAGCTGGAGGAATGTATAACAGCTGGAGGAATGTATAACAGCTGGAGGAATGTATAACAGCTGGAGGAATGTATAACAGCTGGAGGAATGTATAACAGCTGGAGGAATGTATAACAGCTGGAGGAATGTATAACAGCTGGAGGAATGTATAACAGCTGGGAGGAGGATGTATAACAGCTGGAGGAATGTATAACAGCTGGAGGAATGTATAACAGCTGTATAACAGAGGAATGTATAACAGCTGGAGGAATGAAACAGCTGGAGGAATATATAACAGCTGGAGGATTGTATAACAGCTGGAGGAATGTATAACAGCTGGAGGAATGTATAACAGCTGGAGGAATGTATAACAGCTGGAGGAATGTATAACAGCTGGAGGAATGTATAACAGCTGGAGGAATGTATAACAGCTGGAGGAATGTATAACAGCTGGAGGAATATATAACAGCTGGAGGAATGTATAACAGCTGGAGGAATGTATAACAGCTGGAGGAATGTATAACAGCTGGAGGAATGTATAACAGCTGGAGGAATGTATAACAGCTGGAGGAATGTATAACAGCTGAGGAATGTATAACAGCTGGAGGAATGTATAACAGCTGGAGGAATGTATAACAGCTGGAGGAATTGTATAACAGCTGGAGGAATGTATAACAGCTGGAGGAATGTATAACAGCTGGAGGAGGTATAACAGCTGGAGGAATGTATAACAGCTGGAGGAATGTATAACAGCTGGAGGATTGTAAACAGCTGGAGGAATAATAACAGCTGGAGGAATGTATATAACAGCTGGAGGAATTGTATAACAGCTGGAGGAATGTATAACAGCTGGAGGAATGTATAACAGCTGGAGGATTGTATAACAGCTGGAGGAATGTATAACAGCTGCAGGAATGTATAACAGCAGCTGAGGAATAACAGCTGGAGGATTGTATAACAGCTGGAGGAATGTATAACAGCTGGAGGAATGTATAACAGCTGGAGGAATGTATAACAGCTGGAGGAATGTATAACAGCTGGAGGAATGTATAACAGCTGGAGGAATGTATAACAGCTGGAGGAATGTATAACAGCTGGAGGAATGTATAACAGCTGGAGGAATGTATAACAGCTGGAGGAATATATAACAGCTGGAGGAATGTATAACAGCTGGAGGAATGTATAACAGCTGGAGGATTGTATAACAGCTGGAGGAATGTATAACAGCTGGAGGAATGTATAACAGCTGGAGGAATGTATAACAGCTGGAGGAATGTATAACAGCTGGAGGAATGTATAACAGCTGGAGCTGGAGGAATGTATAACAGCTGTGTATAACAGCTGGAGGAATGTATAACAGCTGGAGGAATGTATAACAGCTGGAGGAATGTATAACAGCTGGATATAACAGCTGGAGGAATGTATAACAGCTGGAGGAATGTATAACAGCTGGAGGAATATATAACAGCTGGAGGAATGTATAACAGGAATGTATAACAGCTGGAGGAATGTATAACAGCTGGAGGAATGCTGAGGAATGTATATAACAGCTGGAGGAATGTATAACAGCTGGAGGAATGTATAACAGCTGGAGGAATGTATAACAGCTGGAGGAATGTATAACAGCTGGAGGAATGTATAACAGCTGGAGGAATGTATAACAGCTGGAGGAATGTATAACAGCTGGAGGAATGTATGGAGGAATGTATAACAGCTGGAGGAATGTATAACAGCTGGAGGAATGTATAACAGCTGGAGGAATGTATAACAGCTGGAGGAATGTATAACAGCTGGAGGAGATAACAGCTGGAGGAATGTATAACAGCTGGGTGAGGAATGTATAACAGTGGAGGAGGAAACAGCTGGAGTATAACAGCTAGAGAAATATATAACACCTGGAGGAATGTATAACAGTTGGAGGAATGTATAACAGCTGGAGGAATGTATAAAAGCTGGAGGAATGTATAACAGCTGGAGGAATGTATAAAAGCTAGAGGAATGTATAACAGCTGGAGGAATGTATAACAGCTTTAGGAATGTATAACAGCTGGAGGATTGTATAACAGCTGGAGGAATATATTACAGCTGGAGGAAAGTATAACAGCTGGAGGAATGTATAACAGCTGGAGGAATGTATAACAGCTGGGGGAATTTATAACAGCTGGAGGATTGTATAACAGCTGGAGGATTGTATAACAGCTGGAGGAATGTATAACAGCTGGAGGAATGTATAACAGCTGGAGGAATATATAACAGCTGGAGGAATGTATAACAGCTGGAGGAATATATAACAGCTGGAGGAATGTATAACAGCCGGAGGAATGTATAACAGCTAGAGGAATGTATAACAGCTGGAGGAATATATAACAGCTGGAGGAATGTATAACAGCTGGAGGATTGTATAACAGCTGGAGGATTGTATAACAGTTGCAGGAATGTATAACAGCTGGAGGATTGTATAACAGCTAGAGGAATGTATAACAGCTGGAGGAATGTATAACAGCTGGAGGAATGTATAACAGCTGGAGGAATGTATAACAGCTGGAGGAATGTATAACAGCTGGAGGAATGTATAACAGATGGAGGAACATCAACAGCTGGAGGAATGTATGACAGCTGCAGGAATGTATAACAGCTGGAGGAATGTATGACAGCTGGAGGATTGTATAACAGCTTGAGGAATGTATAACAGCTGGAGGAATGTATAACAGCTGGAGGAATGTATAACTGCTGAAGGAATGTAAAACAGCTGGAGGATTGTATAACAGCTGCAGGAATGTATAACAGCTGGAGGAATGTATAACAGCTGCAGGAATGTATAACAGCTGGAGGAATGTATAACAGCTGCAGGAATGTATAACAGCTGGAGGAATGTATAACAGCTGGAGGAATGTATAACAGCTGCAGGAATGTATAACAGCTGCAGGAATGTATAACAGCTGGAGGAATGTATAACAGCTGCAGGAATGTATAACAGCTGCAGGAATGTATAACAGCTGGAGGAATGTATAACAGCTGCAGGAATGTATAACAGCTGGAGGAATGTATAACAGCTGGAGGAATGTATAACAGCTGGAGGAATGTATAACAGCTGGAGGAACATCAACAGCTGGAGGAATGTATGACAGCTGCAGGAATGTAAAGCAGCTGAATGAATGTATAACAGCTGGAGGAACATTAACGGCTGGACATTAGAGGAGGAACATAACACCATGCAATGACGACAATGTTCCTGACACCCCATGCAGTAATTGTGTAACATGTTCTTAACGCGTGCGGTTCTTGCTAGTCACACTCGCCATCGCCACGGACTGTGAGTTTCATGCTTTCCCTAGCACAGTATAAGAGTATCGTCTGGAAGGTTGGAAACACGCTAGCAGACATTTTCAAACTTTGAATATATATATTATTTATGTAGATTCTGAAAGGAACCAGAAAAAAAAAAAAAAAAAAAAAATAGCTGTCAACAAAATGGTAAGGTAGTGACTTAGTTCTTTAGCTTACGATACCAGGACATCTAGCCTGAGAATGGAGGTGGAGGCAGTCAGTGCAACCGTCCGCTGGCATGAGAACCAGTCGTACACACATGTGATTATAACTGAAGCACAGAGCATGTTGAGAATACTAGAGACATGTATGCTCCGTGCAGAGTGGTGCGCATCGCTTTAAATGCATCGTTTGGTGGTAATGTGGTGCATAACACGCTAGATGTCGTAAGGGTCATCTAGGAGCGAGTGGGAAGTGAAAAGGCACAAATAGATAACACTGTCTGAGAAGAATGGTGTTGCCAGGAGTGACTAGGCGATCAGTTCACAGATCAACACTTCAGGAAACTGCCTGACAGCTTATACTCTGAGATTGTTATGGGAGCTATCGCAACTGGAACTCTACGTTTGCTACTGAAGATGTGGACGGGGCGTTTATGGAGATGTCCCAAGTGCAGTGATGTCGATTCTTGATTCAACATTTAGTATTACACACTATCATTGGGATGCGAACGCCTTGACACATTCTACATCACGGCTATGTGAGGCGGGCAGCCATTGCTTCTCGTTGTCGCCTTTACTTCTAAGAAAATTCGGCCCATTACATTCATTAACAAAAGTAAAATTGTACACATATGCAAAGAGAAACAACGTGTGGATTGGGAAAAAAAAGTTAAGTACATATTTCCCGCACACTTGACACATACGTTAACAAGTGAGCACTGACATCTTGATTGGCCTAATTGTAACCAACCAACGACAAGATACCATCCCTGTCTCACTAATTATTAATCAGATCAACATTTACTAACGAGATCTCCTCTTGATTGTGGGAAACTCCTCTGTTTTCTGTAAGTTTGTTTTCATCATCCTTTTCATAAATAAATGGCATATTTATAACCAACCAACGAAAATATAACATCTAATTAATTATTAATCAGATCAAAATTTAGATACGACATCTTCCCTGTGACCATGAGAAGCTGCTCCGTTGTTGACGTGTTTGTTTTCACCGTCTTCTTCATTAGTGAATGCACAATTGTCACTTCCGGTCAAGTGTGTTTCTCTGTCCAAACTGTTTTCGATGTTTTCTTCGATTGCTTGCGTTTTCTCAGAGTGTCTCTTGCGGTGTACGGTCATTTCAAAATTGCAGAAACCGTCTTTGGAGACAAGAAACATTTCATAGTCATTTTCCATTTGTATCTCCTTCTCTGCCAGCTTTCGTCGGTCAGTCCATTCTTTCTGAGGCTTCATTATCTGTGGAGGAGAGAATTGTGGGGGGGATTAATGGCCTGCCTACGTGTGTGACATCATCTGTGATCAACGAGCAGCATCGGGGAAATCTGCTACACAGGTTATTTATAGTTATTGTGTTTGTTTTATAACATCAAATGTTGGCTATCCTTCGAATAACGGTCCTAAATTATCCAGGCGGAAAATATACCCTAACAGGGCCTCAGTTGCGAGTCAATTGCGCATTTCCGGGGACTATAACGCCACCGCCGAAATGCGAACTTCGGGCAGCTTCCGCCACCACCGAGTGTATCCCATACGCCGCTTATGCGGAGCTAAACTAGATGGCTAGGACCACAGCCAACTCTAGATTACGCCATCTAACTAAATCACGTGACTTTTTGGATGGAGTCCCTCGAAAACTGGTTAGTGTAAGCACTTTCCATGTGTTGCATTGTGTGACATTTTAATGTGCTTACAAAGTTCTGTGTTCTGAATGAATTCGTATTACATATCTACAAGTGGATATTCTGAAGTAGATATACAAGATTTTCAAACTTTGCTGTTAGATTACAGCAATTTGAATTTAAATTCACGGGAGACGGTCGTGTTGCGATGTGTGTGTGTCACTGTTTCTAGTCAGTAGTTTGGATTTTTGGGAACTGGCTGTTTATTACTTTTCTACTTTAAATGTAGAAATCTAACTTTTAGGGATAATACAAACAGGTAATTTAGAAGCCATATCTGGAGAATATCGACAGTTGTCAGGTGCAAACTATCTTGTGTTTGAAGAAAACTATTGCTTTCATATTGACTATGCATAAATGGTGCAACACTGTGACAATACGCTCGGTGACTTCAGAAGGTCTTTCCTTAACCTACTTTTATTCCTTTGTGTTTCGAAGTATACAGAGACAAATAGGGATTTGGATACATCCTTAATCTAAGTAAGACGACCACATCAAACCTTTATTTCTCCTGGACCGTTGGTCACATCAAACACTAAAACTTTTTCCCAGATGTTAAGTGTTAAGGTACAGAGATAAGACTGACCAAGCAGACTTACTGACTGGAGATTTGCACACCATCTGTTGGTGTCAGATAGTTATTCCCCCTGCCAGACCTTCAGGAACAGATAACAAGGGCTAATTGCCATTATCTCTCCCTGAGGTTACCTAACTCGACGGCAGGTCCGACGGTCACTATTGACACAGTGAGCGGAAAGTGTTGGCAGAAGAATTGATAAAGTCGGATTTTATTGTGATGGCAGGTGAAGTAGGCCAGAGGTGTGACTTGTCCTATTTGCTCTGTCAGATGAATTGACCAGGAGATCCTAGCGTGGGAATTTAAACAAGTGTTGTACAGCCCTGACTGACAGCGAATCCCACAGGGGAGGAGCTGTGATATCCCTGAATGAGAATGATTTTAGGCGTAATGTAGGAGGAGCTTGATAAAAGTTATAAAGGGCTGAACTCTAGGTCTGGTAAATGAGATCCTGTCCAGCACATGCCATCTGTTGGGCTTAACCTAAGCTTGAGACAGAACTTTTGGCATCGTGGTTTCATTTTTCCAGGTAAGATCGAAATTAGGTTCAAATCTATATTTTATGATAGAGTTCTAACTGTCTTTTTACTCAAGTGTGTGTCTTCATCACTTTGTAGTACTCCTAGGCGGACATTTCTTCATTCTCGTAGGGCACTGTCACATTGCTTTATATCCTATTTGATAGTGTCATGAATGTTTTTCGTGCACATGTGTTTCAATGTTGTAAAACCTAAATGTTGTTGTTGCCATTGAATGAACTATCATGTTTTTGAAATCACAAGCGTGAAGATAACTTTGGCAATCTTGTCACGTGTGGTTAATGTGAATCTGTATTACATACAGCTAACACACTGAAATGTGTTTAACTCTCGGGAGGCAAATGCGGAGATTGATCCCGGAGAGAAAATCCTTGAGATTTGGTATTTGATTCGCCTCAGAAATATTGTTAGCTTTCTGGGCGCGTCGATTGTTCCAAGCATAGATTCCAGAACTGGTTCTGCCTGACTGAGTGTCATTTGAGTCTGTACGAGAGATGGCACCTGACGTAGAAGACTTGACTATCATTACAGGACGTGTAGAGGAAGGCAGAAGATGTAACAGTTGGAATGTGAGACATAAGACCTTCCAAATTGGACAGGAGTGAATGTGAGCATGAGGGAGAGATGAAATGTTTTACTTAAATAAACATGCTTGATGTTAGTATAATATACATGCTTAGTTTACATCTAGAGCAGATACTACAAATATGCGCTTGTTTCTTCATTCTCCAGTTCCCACATTGGGCAGGGACTAGTAGGCATCCATTATTTGCCGACCGTCGAGTGTAACGACCTGCAGAAAGCAGTGAGGACGACAAACTGGAAAAGATAGGCAGGGTCTCAAGCCGAGAACTGTCCAAAGGTTGTTACTTTCCAATACCTTTATGATTTCATCATTCACATAACCTAAACTCTACTAGCCTAAACAAGTTCATTTTATTTTAATTTCGATTTATTCAAAAAAATCATGTGTGATGAGTTTCATGATAGTTGAGTAAATTGTGTACTTAGGTTCAAGTGTCTTTGTGCATATTAGTTTACTTCAGCTAACAAATATTTAAATCATTTGATGGGGGCTTTTAAGTAATGCCAGGAGAGGAGAACAGTCGGAGGGGTTAACTGAGTATCCTGATATTATCTCAGTGGGTTCATCTTGATCTCTATCTATCCCTTCTCCTACTCCTGTGGATACAAGTACAGCAACTTTCATTTCATGGAACGAGCCACTCGCTGTTTTCTTGGCTATCCAGGACTGTCTAGGATCAACATAGCTTAGATAATCGTCCAGTTTCTCACGTGGGTGGGCATTGTTAAGGATCAAACCCACACCCTCACTATATCAGTGTATTTACCCACGTGGGCGCGCGACAAACACACTGTGGATAAATTGTGTCAAGATATTTCGGAGTTCTAGGTAAGTGGATGAAAATAATATTTAATTTACTAACTAACTTTTCACAACAAGTCACTCTTTGCCTCTTTACTAATTGTTGACTAACAGTATAATTATATGTTTGTTAATTTTTGTAAACTGGCTCTTGCTTTGCTTCGCGAACACTGGCTGTAAACTCTTGCGGAAACTTCTGGTTGCTCATCGACTTCTTTTGCATATTTGCAGTTCTACGGTCTGTTAATTTTTGTAAACTGGCTTTAGTATTCCTTCGCAAACAGTGGCTGTCTATTAGCCACTTCTAGACAGTCTGTTCCGCATCACTCATCTCACGCTACCTTAAATCTACAGTCATCAATGACTTTATATGAATACTTAAAGATTGACTGTGTTCGTTATCGCACACCTTCTGCCTGGAAAGCAGTGATTCCCAAACTGTGCACCGTGGTCCCCCGGGAAGCCGCGGCGCCGCGAAATATTCGAAGATACACGAGTTTTCTTATACACGAAAAGTCATACTTTTACTTAGGTTTGCGCCCCGTGGAAAATTTGTTTTGGAAAAGTTTCGGAAACGCTGCTTGCTGTGAAGAATTTCTTCTTCCGCTGGCCGTCGTATAAGTGATGAAGAGCACCATCATTCGTTGGCGGCTGGCAGATTTCAGTCGTTAATTCAACGTTTTATTGTGTTTTGTGTGGGTATTTTTTGCAGGGCATGCTGGCGACTCGGCCGGCGTAATACTGACCACATCACCCATCTAGTGTCGATTGGTGTGTAAATATGTGTGTGTTCTTCCTATATTCCCGGTGCGTCTAAGGCGTGAGAGGATTCTTTAATTTTTGATGCTGGTGACTGGGAAATGAACAGGCTGAGAGACTGGCTGGTTCTGCACACCTTGGTGGTGAATGGATGCATCACAAGCTATATGTTGTAGGGGTCCTTGGGGGCGAGTGAGCATTGTGGAGGTACAGATAGATCATCACGGTGTGAGGAGGAGTGGTGCTGGGAGGTGTGGTGCTGGGAGGTGTGGTGCTGGGAGGTGTGGTGCTGGGAGGTGTGGTGCTGGGAGAAGTAGTGCTGAGAGGAGTGGTGCTGAGAGGTGTGGTGCTGGGAGGTGTGGTGCTGGGAGGTGTGGTGCTGAGAGGTGTGGTGCTGGGAGGTGTGGTGCTGAGAGGAGTGGTGCTGGGAGGTGTGGTGCTGGGAGGTGTGGTGCTGGGAGGTGTGGTGCTGGGAGGTGTGGTGCTGGGAGGTGTGGTGCTGGGAGGAGTAGTGCTGGGAGGAGTAGTGCTGGAAGGAGTGGTGCTGGGAGGAGTAGTGCTGGAAGGAGTGGTGCTGGGAGGAGTGGTGCCGGGAGGAGTGGTGCTGGGAGGAGTGGTGCTGGGAGGAGTGGTGCTGGGAGGGGTGGTGCTGGGGGGAGCGGGGCTGGGAGGAGCTGGTGCTGGGAGGGGTGGTGCTGGGAGGGGTGGTGCTGGGAGGGGTGGTGCTGGGAGGAGCGGGGCTGGGAGGAGCGGTGCTGGGAGGGGTGGTGCTGGGAGGAGTGACCGTGGGATCTGGACGACGATCAACACTTAAAAGAAAGATGAGATGAATATACAACCATACTGCAGCTGGTACCATCGGAACTGGAACTTTTCGCTTGCTGCTGAAGATGGGGACGGAGCCTCTATGAGAATGTCCCAAGTGCTGATTCATTATAAAACTTAAAACATTGAACATTAAACGTTACGTTTACTACTGCGTTTAAATAGCACCACGCTGACATCGTTGTCGAAATCAAAGCATCCAAGTTTGCTACAATATAGCTTGAAGATTCCTTTGAACCCCAGTATGTTGAGATTTTGAAACTGCCTTCACAACCCCTGATAACGGTTTTCCCTTGTCTTTCACAAATATTGAATTTGTGGGCATCTTTCGCCCCCCCCCCCCCACGACGAGTGTACTGTGTTATGGAGGGAGGAAGGTGGGTGGAGCTAAAAGATGGGCGGAGGGTGGAGCTGAGGGGTGGAGCTAAGGGGAAAGGGGGCAGGGAATCACAGCTGATGGCGCTGGCCCGTGTGACTGGAAAGACTGGCTCGCAGCAAAGTCCTCCACAATTTGACCAGGGAATTTCAGCACCAGCAATATAGTGTACTGAAGTTTTTACACACAGACATACATATATACGTACATGCATACTCACATACAAACAACATTCACACTCACACACACACAACTGACTGGCAGGCGACCCACCTCCCAGAGTCCATTCTTGCAGGAGTAGTAGAAGAAATACACGGGGATCCACATGACGACGAACAACAGGATGAGGTAGTAGAGGAGGCTCTTCCAGGCTGGCGGCTCGTCCTTCTGCTCGTAGGCCTTAAATATAACGATAGCCTGAAAAAGGGATCAGGTTCACGTGGTTAAAGTCAGCCGGAACCACCCATAATCACCATAGGTTCCAGAACTTGACGGCTCAGGCAGCTCATGCTTCCCCTAAAAATATTTAGTGATGCTCCCCCGCAAATATCTTTCAGAGAAAGTTGGGACGGGGGGTTCTGGGCATTTATTCCCTAGAAATGTGCAAGTGGTCCCTACCTGCGTAAAGATATTCTAAGGTATATCTTCATGCATGACATATTGTTTCAAATAAATCTTTTCATTTATTTGCCATTCAGCACATACTAATATTTATTACTGCGCGCTTAAGCAAGGTTTAAGCCCTTAAGCCTCGCCCCTAGAGAATTAAAAAGGTCGCCCCCTCGCCCCCCCCCCGCCCCCCGAAACGTCTGGTGGTCGTACGTGGCGTCATGTCAAGAATATCGGCAGCCGGTACTTGTAACGTTTTCCCTCGCATACAAACGCTCGTTGGCCTTTCCTTTATGCTTGCTGGCCTGTCACACGCGCTAGTTTATGTTACAGATGTGTCACACTGTGTTGCCTCCTTGCACTCGAATATAAATAAAGTCGCCAGCGGCTCACAGCAACGAGAAAAATGACTTGTAGCTGGCCGCTCACACGTCGCGCTATACAGAAAGCTCAGTGTATCGAAGACAGCTCAACCTGATACCCCTCTATCATAGACCCTTTTTTGTTAGTGTGGACGGCATTAGTTCAACATCTCACACACTCACAACAATCTGGGATCAGGCCTATGTTCTTATTTGCGAGTCCATTATGCTCTGTAGCCAAGTTCTGTAAGTTCTTCGTCTTTCTCCTGCCCTTGACCTAGTCACGTTGTTAGTTGCCAATACGTTTACAGATTTATTTTTTAGCAGTCTGATACGTATAAATTTATTTTCTTTAAGGAGTTTACGGTTTTAATATGCTTTTCGGCTGACAATGCTGGATTGAAGCATAAGCTAACTAAGCTGATGCTTCGGGCCTCAAAATCTGCAGGGGCAGCAAGAAATTCCTATACTGTGTGTGTTCGCAATTGTAGTTTTCTTTTCAGAGAGCCTTTGAGAGTATTGTATCATAAAATTTATGAGATTTTGTAAACACAATCTTTATTATTTCTTTTAATAAAGATTTAACAAATATATTTTTTTCAAGACAATGTTTTCGCATTATGAATTTCAATAATGTGAAACAAACAAAACATTGCAGAATTTATTGCCTACATATTTCGCTGTGTCTCGTCCCGCGCATGACCACAGATTACATTGCATCATCCATATTTGTAGAAGGCGTTTATATTTTAGTTGTCTGAGATTAGCTGGTGTCATTTCAAATAGTAGGGTCCTCGGGGCTTTATATAGTTTAGGGTGACATCAAGATTGAATGGGATCCTGCCGCCAACTGTCTTTTGTTTGATTGTATTGGACATGTGTCTCAACTGTCTGATTTGTTGTTTGATTGTATTGGACAAGTGTCTCAACTGTCTGATTTGTTGTTTGATTGTATTGGACAAGTGTCTCAACTGTCTGATTTGTTGTTTGATTGTATCGGTCAAGTGGGCCAACTGTCTGATTTATTGTTTGATTGCGTGAGACGTGTGTCCCAACTGTCTGACTTGTTGTTTGATTGTATCGGTCAAGTAGGCCAACTGTCTGATTTGTTGTTTGGTTGTATTGGACACGTGTCCCAACTGTCTGATTTGTTGTTTGATTGCGTGAGACCTGTGTCCCAACTGTCTGATTTGTTGTTTGATTGCGTGAGACGTGTGTCCCAACTGTCTGATTTGTTGTTTGATTGTATTGCACACGTGTCCCAACTGTCTGATTTGTTGTTTGATGCGTGAGACGTGTGTCCCAACTGTCTGATTTGTTGTTTGATTGTATCGGTCAAGTGGGCCAACTGTCTGATTTATTGTTTGATTGCGTGAGACGTGTGTCCCAACTTACCAGGAGAAGGAGCGGACTGATCACGGTCCAGGTGGCCTTGAAGTAGATGAAGGGACTGAAGCCCACCATGGCCTTGACGTCAGCAGCGAATTGTCTGTAGCCTGAAACAATCACAGATTGTCTGTTAGGGTCAAAGGTTACAGCCAGATAGAACTTAGAAAATGAAGACAAAAGGTTATATCTAAAAGTGTGTATGTGTGAGTGTATGTGTTTGTGTGTGTGTGTGTGTGTGTGTGTGTGTGTGTGTGAGTGTCTGTGTGTGTGAGGCAGAGAGAGAGAGAGAGAGAGAGAGAGAGAGAGAGAGAGAGAGAGAGAGAGGTTATGGTTATGGTTAAAGAGAGCATCCACCTCATTGCATTTGGGTTTTGTTCCATATAATGTGATCTTCGTCCGTAGAACATTTAACTACCTGCCTAGAGCGTCACACAAAGCACGAACTCCCTAGCTTTGGCGACGAGCTCCATATATCAACGACGCCGCTGTGAAACGAACCTGCGACTTTCAGAACACGAGGCAAATGGCTTGTAGATGTCGACACTGGTTTCGAGAACCGACGGTTTACAACAAAGTTAAACAACTGAAAGTAAAATTTGGTGCAAAACCATCAAACATACAAACACAAAATACAAAATGCTAGTGTTGATCTCTAAAGTCCTGTACAGGATTGGTACCCCACTAGCCTGAGGAAGACCAGGAGACGATCGCCAAACAGGTACTTAGATGGGAAACACATGGATTGAGCAAACGAGGACGTCCGAAAGAAACCCTACAACGAAAGCTGACGAGGGAAGCCAAAGCTGCTGGACTGAACGATATCACATGGGACTGAAGCAGTTGCACAGGCTATAAGTGAACAGCCCTGTGTGGCATGTAACGGCCCTACACGATGATGGTTATTATTATAATTGTAAAATAAGATTGTATTCTAATTTCTAGTGAGCAAAATCACACAATATTATAAAACAGTTATAAAACTTTAACCCAGATCAGATTTTTAACTATTCAGTTTCTCAGTAAAACCCAACCAGGAACGATACAATGAAAGTTGCGGTTAAAAAGCCTTCAACTGCATTCAGCAATACGGACATCTAACACGGAAACACTCATCAGCACCAATAAGTTGATTCTTTACAGAACGTCGCTCTCTTCCCTGCACGTCTACACATCTCTTTGTCTCCAGCTAATTCTCCGTGCCTTCATAGCCATTGCATCCACAGTGTCTTGTATCCACCTTCCCATGCATCCTTTGTGTCTTGTATCAACCTTCCCATGCATCCACATTGTCTTGTATCCACCTTCCCATCCATCCACAGTGTCTTGTATCCACCTTCCCATGCATCCACAGTGTCTTGTATCCACCTTCCCATGCATCCACAGTGTCTTGTATCCACCTTTCCATGCATCCACAGTGGCTTGTATCCACCTTCCCATGCATCCTCAGTGTCTTGTATCCACCTTCCCCTTCATCCTCAGTGTCTTGTATCCACCTTCCCATGCATTCTCAGTGTCTTGTATCCACCTTTCCATGCACCCTCAGTGTCTTGTATCCACCTTGCCATGCATCCTTAGTGACTTGTATCCACCTTCCCATGCATCCTCGGTGTCTTGTATCCACCTTTCCATGTACCCTCAGTGTCTAGTATCCACCTTGCCATGCATCCTTAGTGATTTGTATCCACCTTTCCATGCATCCTCAGTGTCTTGTATCCACCTTCCCCTGCATCCTCAGTGTCTTGAATTCACCTTCCCCTTCATCCTCAGTGTCTTATATCCACCTTCCCGTGCATTCACAGTGTCTTGTATCCACCTTCCCCTGCATCATTAGTGTCTTGTATCCACCTTCCCCTGCATCCTTAATGTCTTGTATCCACCTTCCCCTGCATCCTTAGTGTCTTGTATCCACCTGCCCATGCATCCACAGTGTCTGGTATCGACCTTCGCATCTGCATCGTGTTCAGGAAGCGGTGCTCCAATCATCTCCCCTTCCCCTCAGGTCACAAAGTTTTACATGGACATAAACCGCAGCTTTTTGGGATAAGATGCTGTTTATGAGCCAATTCTTCTCTATGTTCAAATCATGTTGTGTCTTAATATTTTTCTTTTCCTTCGTTAATGGAATTGACATTTTCCTTCCTACTGCTCTATGGAATTGACGTTTATCTTTTTCTTGATCCATGGAATTGACGTTTTTCTTTTTCTTGATTCATGGAATTGACGTTTTTTTCTTCTGGCTCTATGGAATTGACGTTTATCTTCTTCTTGATCCAAGAAATTGACGTTTTTCTTCTACTTGCTTCATGGAAATATAAGAATGTTTCTATAACAGTTGAGTTCAAGAGCTTCGATCCTTTCTTCCTCAGTGAACCAGGAACAGAGTCCACGAGTAACACCCATAAGTTGCAAACGATCTTAACTTGTTTACTTGAACCCGCTCGCTGGCACTGTACCATCGGTTCTTTCTGCTGTTTAATCTCTGCATCGCTTTGGCTTCTGATTTCCTTTGAGCAGCCGCCATCGTTGTTTACCACTTGGCCCAGATATTCAAAATCTGTGACACATTTGATTTGATCATTGTCGGTTTTCAATCCTTGGCTGTCCTGCTGTATTTACTATGGACATTTTTGTTGTTGTTTAAATCGGAATGATTAACTTCTTCACTGGAAATTTTGACGGTCAGAATTAATTATTTACAGCCTGATTATGTCGTCTGCAAAACTGGTTTGTGGAGTAAGTTTACCAATAGACAGAAAGACTTACCGTATATATAAATAATCACAATATATTCAAACAGGCCAATAAACAACAGGGGAAACCCGATCATGGCGCTGTCAACAAGGTCCAGCAGGTGGGAACCCCCTTGGGTGATCATGGGAATTCCCAGTAGGAACTCCAGGGCACACAGGCTGAGGCGGAAGAGTATTTTCCGTTTCCGTCCCCGGAAAAAATGCGGGAATTCGTCGATGATTGCGGTCATCAGTGTCTCAGCAGAGGAGAACTGCAAGGAGAGATGGACACAGGGGTCACAACAGGGCAACACACACTGTGGTTAGAGTACAGACAGACAGACAGACAGACAGACAGACAGACAGACAGACAGACAGACAGACAGACAGACAGACAGACAGACAGACAGACAGACAGACAGACAGACAGACAGACAGACAGACAGACAGACAGACAGACAGACAGACAGACAGACAGACAGACAGACAGACAGACAGACAGACAGACAGACAGACAGACAGACAGACAGACAGACAGACAGATAGACAGACAGATAGATAGATATAGATAGATAGATAGATAGATAGATAGATAGATAGATAGATAGATAGATGATAGATAGATAGATAGATAGATAGATAGATAGATAGATAGATAGATAGATAGATAGATAGATAGATAGATAGATAGATAGATAGATAGATAGATAGATAGATAGATAGATAGATAGATAGATAGATAGATAGATAGATAGATAGATAGATAGATAGATAGATAGATAGATAGATAGATAGATAGATAGATAGATAGATAGATAGATAGATAGATAGATAGAGAGATGAGATGAGATGAGATGAGATGAGATGAGATGAGATGAGATGAGATTAGATTAGGAAGATAGTTTATGTAATGCGAAACAATTTATTTCTGAAAAACTGTTTGTGAAAAATGTGTGAAATTATCGGCCATTATAACGAATATAATCGTTTTCAAAGTTAGTCGCGTCTCCTTTACAGGCCATTGCAGAACCATCTATATCTTTTTTAGACGTTTTGAGATTTAACTAGACATTTTGATGAACAATATTATGGTCAAATTGTCGGCTGTCGATACCAGTGACAAACACAAGGCGGTCTGGTGCCAATTCGTCCGCATCTAGGATGGAACTCATTATTATTGATAATAATAACGATAATTAAAAAACAAAAACATATGTACATATTTACCAAGGAACTGAATCCCAGAAGACACAGCATGAAGAAGAAGAGGATAGCCCACAGACTCGACACAGGCATGTTCCCGAGAGCCTCCGGATAGACGATGAATGCCAAGCCGGGGCCTGGAAAGACAAACAGATACCCATGACTGAGTCCAGACTAAACATTGTCTAACATAAATTTATATTGTATGAGCAAATCTAAATTAGATCATTTATAACATTAAACTCTAAATGTATATTATAATTTTAAAAAAAAAGTTAGATAATTTGTAGCGTTAACTTTAGTGTCACATTTTATTGTTATCTTCTAACGGTAGACTCTATTTTCAGATTTTTAATGGCAAATCTAAGCGAGATATTTTTAACGCTAACTCTAATCCCTAATGTGTACTGGCCTATCTAAACTGGGTCAGCTTTTTCGAATGAAATATTTGATTTGCCGACCTAGAATTATTTTTTGCTGTCACTATTTCTAATTTATAATATTTACTCTATCTTTCTTAAAGTCTCCCCCCCCCCCCTCCCCCCGGTGATACATTCACAGACGATTGTACTATTTATACGAGTGCTTAGATTTGCAACGTAATAGAGTCGTCATTACGACAAGAATTACATAATGTAGTTAAATGGAGCAGTGCAAACCATATGGAAAAAAAACCCATTAATTTAAAGACCAGACAAAAACGATTCAGTTTAAATTCACAGAGAGCACTTTAACTCTACATTAGGAAAAAAGTGGAAAGTGTAACTGAGCACAAAGCACTATGGTTGGTCATTGGATGTCAGTCTTGCCTTCAGCTCTCGTGTACGAGCATTTTTGAAATAAACAGATAAAAAGGTTTTAAAAAACTTGCAAAAATTAAAAACTTACTTGATGAAAACACAAGAAGGATATTCTATATTTCTCACATCCAGTCATATATAGACTATTGCTCTTCAATATGTGATTGCTGTTCACGTCACTGCTAAAGCGCGCCATTCGCTTAGCAGGTAATAATCATGGGACGGTCAGCTCCGAAAATATATAAAGGTGTGATGCTACTGCCGCTTCGTGAACGTCCACTTTTCAATAAAGCTAAATTTATTCACAAAATAATATAACAAAAGATTCCACGTTACTTATGGCCGTTGTTTAAATATAATGGAAGGCATAGCAAACGCTTAAACATATTACATATCCCTAAACCTAGGATAGACCTATACGAAACAAGTATAGCGTACTCTGTTAAAGTATCTTTCACAACAAGTCAAAAAGACATACAATCATAAACTGTTAGAATATTATCTGAGCACAGATTACATACCCGCAAGGAAGATTAAAAACATTTTTGAAATAGGGCTAATTTTTTTTTCCACGACTGATGACAACTACTACGGTTTGCTACAGTTAGAAACGTGCACATTGCAGTGCTTTGATTGAATGTTTTATTAATAACAGTTTGTTGTTGTTGTTGTTGTTGTTGTTGTTGTTGCTACTACTTGATATATGAATGAAATGATGTCTGAAAAGGAGGGATACAAGGGCAGAATGGTAGACTGACCTACGTGCTCATTTCTCAACCCTTAGAAAAAAAAGTTTGTTCGTTCTGAAGTAGATATTGTAACGCAGTAATTTTCAAATAGATTTTCTAACGATGAATTCGTCCGCGCTTTCTCTAACATACGGCCTCCGCCGCGGTCCTGTAGTTAATTGCCTGCTTACCGTCCAAAAAGTCAGGAGTTCGAATCCACATCGACCGGGTCTAAAACGGGAACGAAGCAAGTCAGAGGATTTAAGGCGGTCGGCGTAATGGTGACTTCATCACCCACCGAGTGCTATTTGGTGTATAACAACATGAATTGGTGTATAACAACATGAATTGGTGTATAACAACATGAATTGGTGTATAACAACATGAATTGGTGTATAACAACATAAATTGGTGTATAACATCATGAATTGGTGTATAATAACATGAATTGGTGTCTAACAACATGAATTGGACTCGCCTCCCGAAAACAAGAATCGACAGAAGGAAATCTTAAAATAACCCCGCCAAAGAAGACTTGCCTCCCTTGGTGACGTCTGCAATGGGGACACCTTTGGTCTTTGCCATGTAGCCGAGCGTGGAGAAGATCACAAACCCAGCGTAGAAGCTGGTCAGACAGTTGACAATCGGCACTACGAAGGCATCTCTGGGGATTTGAAACATTGATTGTTTGAGAACTCTTGGATTTATTACATTTGACAACTGTTGGTCATTTTCGCTTTGAAATTACTTAGGCCTGTTCAATGAAAGATGATATCTGGATAGGATCAGTTTAAAAAGATTTGGACAGGATCGGTTTGTAATATCTGGACAAGATCAATTTGAGAATATTTGAACAGCATCAGTTTGAGATGATATTTGGACACATCATGTGTGTAAGAGAGAGAGAGAGAGAGAGAGAGAGAAGAGAGAGAGAGAGAGAGAGAGAGAGAGAGAGAGAGAGAGAGAGAGAGATAGGCAGGCAAAGAGCGAGAGAGACAGACAGGTAGAATAAAAGTGGGAAAAAGGAGAGAGATTTAGAGAGGGCGGGGTAAGTGACAGAAGGAAAGAGAGCGCTTGAGGGAGAGAGAAAGAGAGAGACAGACAGAGAGAGAGAGAGAAAAGGACGAGAAAGGCAGACAGAAAGATGGGTAGAATGAAAGTGGGAAAAAGGAGAGAGATTGAGAGAGATTGAAAGAGGGAGGTGAGTGACAGAAGGAGAGAGAGAGAGAGAGATAGAGAGAGAGAGAGCAGGCAAGGGAGAGAGAGAATCTCTGTCAGTATGTGAATCTACACGAAACATTGCTAAATTACTACCCAGTCACTAAAACAATCCCCAAGTCTCAAGCAAAGCTGCTCTGAAGGTTGCACTCGAGGCAGTTGTTGTCATTACCTGATGATGTTGTTGTTGAAGTTGTTGTAGCTAGACATGGCCACCAGGCCACCACTGCAGGCACTCAGCGAGAAGAAGATCTGAACCGCCGCATCACTCCAGACCTGCACAAGAAAGTGGCATCATTCCGTCAATTGTTCACTCTTAAAGTGAGGGAAATAAAGTTATTTAAAAAACAGAAACATATATCAGATCGTAATGCTGTGTAGAGACCTCGATTCAAAGACATCAGAAGAGAATAGGGGTTTCCGGAAAAAAGGGGATGGGGGAATGGGGTGGTGGTGGGGGGGGGGGGGTTTGTCAGCCGTCTTAGTATTTTTAGGGATGGGGACCTCAAGGGTCTTGTTCAAGTGCTTAATACAAGTAATCCCCCTTTATTTTTACTACTATTATTATTATCAATACCTTCATTATTATATGGTGATTGGCTTATAAAGACAATAATACATCTGAAATAAAATTAAACATACAAGCAAACACTAAAGAAAGCAAAACCTCTGCACGCTGAGAAAGGGCATGAAATAAAGCTGCGGTGTTCAGTCTGTTTTAACATTTGTCTAGGACATCTGGGCGAGGAACCCTCACGTTCCACCAGCTCACGTCCGGTCCTTCCCAAAATGTGTTCCTAAAGATTCGAGGAATCAGAGAACTGCCGGGCTGAACTTAGATGTTGTATCTCGTAGATAACGAACATTTAAAGTCAGGACTTCGTGGTTCCTGTTCGTTGTTGTACGTCACCGTGCATCATCAGCATCGTCACCACTATCTTCCACTTTTGCCACTAAGCACCTTGGGTGAGAACAGAATGCTCTCCAGCTTTCGATGGCTGGCAGTGGAAACTGTCAGTCCGTGTGGATGTAGGAGATATTTAATCTCATCGATCCATTATCTCATTGAAGGTCCTCTTGCTCTGAAATTAGATGTTTTTTAGATGCAGCGCCTATGATGCTATTTGTTGTGGTTACATTTTAAAGAGATTATTTCTCATTTTTTAATCTTATTTATTTATGAATTTAATGTAGGGTATCCTCAAAGAAAGAAGTATTACAGTAAAATGTGTCTATTACAAACCAGACAACCAGTTTATTTTATATTGAATTCATATTTCAGAGCCACACATCACCATAGACATCATACATCAAAGTTATACAGAAAATGATTACCAGGTAATGTCCGGGGAAGACAAGGCGGTCGGTATGATGTTGACCACTTTATCCGCTGGGTTTCGATAGGAATCTAAACATGAGTCTAGCAGTGTGTGCCCAATGCGCCATTGTTGTATAAAAGTCTTTAAAATCTTTTACATAGTCCTTAATAGAGATATCATACCCAAGTTTCAGACAGACTAATTAGACATAAGTCAGGGCAGAGAAGTAGAAATCTGACACTGGATCTTTCCGTGTCGGCTCCTGTACCCCATGAGGGAAAAGGGAGGGGGTGGGGGCGTCAGAGCCCAACAAGCACATCGGAAATTACAATTATTTAAAGGTTTCTTGAATTCGGGTGTAATGGGTTAAAATGTGTAGATATCTCAAAGTAACTGAATACCACAACAAACAACGCCAACCGCTATTTGAAGGATGAAAAACAAAAGAAGAAGCAGACGACACAGGACAGAGAGAATAATACTAGAGCATCTTAGAGACAAGTGGTACCTCAGCTGTTTGTAGGCTACACAGGACAGAGGGAATAATACTAGAACATCTTAGAGACAAGTGGTACCTCAGCTGTTTGTAGGCTACACAGGACAGAGGGAATAATACTAGAACATCTTACAGACAAGTGGTACCTCAGCTGTTTGTAGGCTACACAGGACAGAGGGAATAATACTAGAACATCTTAGAGACAAGTGGTACCTCAGCTGTTTGTAGGCTACACAGGACAGAGAGAACAAAACTAGAACATCTTACAGACAAGTGGTACCTCGGCTGTTTGTAGGCTACACAGGACAGAGAGAACAATACTAGAACATCTTACAGACAAGTGGTACCTCGGCTGTTTGTAGGCAACACAGGACAGAGAGAACAATACTAGAACATCTTAGAGACAAGTGGTACCTCGGCTGTTTGTAGGCTACACAGGACAGAGAGAACAATACTAGAACATCTTACAGACAAGTGGTACCTCGGCTGTTTGTAGACAACACAGGACAGAGGGAATATACTAGAGCATGTTACAGACAAGTGGTACCTCGGCTGTTTGTAGGCAACACAGGACAGAGGGAATATACTAGAGCATGTTACAGACAAGTGGTACCTCGGCTGTTTGTAGGCAACACAGGACAGAGGGAATATACTAGAGCATGTTACAGACAAGTGGTACCTCGGCTGTTTGTAGGCAACACAGGACAGAAGGAATATACTAGAGCATGTTACAGACAAGTGGTACCTCGGCTGTTTGTAGGCAACACAGGACAGAGGGAACAATACTAGAACATCTTAGAGACAAGTGGTACCTCGGGTGTTTGTAGGCAACACAGGACAGAGAGAACAATACTAGAGCATGTTACAGACAAGTGGTACCTCGGCTGTTTTCAGGCGACTCCAGTCCGGGGTCAGGTAGAAGAGGACACCGTCATAAGCTCCGTCCAGCAGGGCGCACCTGACCAGCAGGATGGTCAGCAACACGTAGGGAAACACAGCCGAGAAATAGGACACCTGGGCAGAATACAGGGATTGAAGCAATCATACACAGATTGAAAACACACAATCATATAAACAAAGTGACTAGAAATCAACACCATAGCACACAGGACATAGTCACAGATGCTCGGTCTCTCGCAGCGCATGCCTCAAGGTTTCAAGTGTCGATGCTTACTATTCCAGTAGCACACTTGTTGTACACACCCTCGTACTTTTCTTCACATAGATTATGATGATGCTAATGGATCTGTTCTGACAGCAAGACAAAGTAGATACTGTAAGACTTGGAAAGTGCCACGTGTCCACGATTATGCTTGAGCACCCGCTTGCTTGTTTGCACTAGAGGCTGTATAAGGCACTAGGTTTTTTTTTAAATCAGCCCGTTTTTCTCTGTGTCCCCTGGATGTGCTGAGATGATGTTCTTCTTTGGCACGATGTTTTGGCTATGACATAAAATTGTGTAGAGTTATTTACGCAATCTCATTGTGTGTGTGTGTGTGTGTGTGTGTGTGCACAAACGTTACGTCATTAAATGTGAGATGGCTGCAGCTGTGTTTGGTCATTCCCTGGAAGAACTTGTGTGGTTCGTATCCTATGAACTTCAACTTACTTAAATTGCTAGACAAAGTGACCTGTGTAACAGCGGGTCTCTATATTGCTGACGACAACCTCTAACACCTGCTCCCCCTTTTCCCCCCAATGTTTCTCATAATTAAGCTTACCAACAAGGTCGTCGGTTCATTTTACTATCTAGTCTGGTTCACAACCGAGGTTTCTATCCAGATTCCTGGAGATCGCCGCCGAAGCTACACAATGCGTGCTTTGTGCGACGCTCTCTCGAACCAATTGGGATAACTCGAACCTCTATAATTTGAAGGACCCTCATAAGTGGGATGAAAATATTGTGGATCCCTTCTGCTGACTCACCTTCCCCAGGCTCTCCACACCTTTGACAAGGACCAGAAAGGTGATGACGAAGGAGAACAGGTTGCAAAGCAAGATCTCCCACTGGATGCCTCCGATGTTTTCCATGGAGCCTGTGTCAGCTAGAATCTCCTTGCTGGGAAGAAGGAAGCAGGAAATGTAAGCATAAATTTGTAATGTATAATGTATAAATGGAAATTATCAGGCAGATAAACTGGTCGGTTCTACATCACATGGTTTTGAATTGATTCATGGCAGGGTACTTTAACAATATCCTACCCCACATGACATCAAAGGACAGTCCAACATTTAAGAGGGTGGCAAGACTGGGTTTCCCAGCTTTCTGATGCTTTTAACGAACCCAAAACATCTAGAACTGGTCCTAGCCCCAACCCACTAACGTCCCATGAGAGTGGAGCCTAGGTCCCATGATTCCATGCAGCCTAGGTCCCATGATTCCATGCAGCCTAGGTCCCATGATTCCATGCAGCCTAGGTCCCACGATTCCATGCAGCCTAGGTCCCATGATTTCATGCAGCCTAGGTCCATGATTCCATGCAGCCTAGGTCCCATGATTCCATGCAGCCTAGGTCCCATGATTCCATGCAGCCTAGGTCCCATGATTCCATGCAGCCTAGGTCCATGATTCCATGCAGCCTAGGTCCCATGATTCCATGCAGCCTAGGTCCATGATTCCATGCAGCCTAGGTCCATGATTCCATGCAGCCTAGGTCCATGATTCCATGCAGCCTAGGTCCCATGATTCCATGCAGCCTAGGTCCCATGATTCCATGCAGCCTAGGTCCATGATTCCATGCAGCCTAGGTTCCACGATTCCATGCAGCCTAGGTCCCATGATTCCATGCAGCCTAGGTCCATGATTCCATGCAGCCTAGGTCCCATGATTCCATGCAGCCTAGCCTAGGTCCATGATTCCATGCAGCCTAGGTCCATGATTCCATGCAGCCTAGGTCCCATGATTCCATGCAGCCTAGGTCCCATGATTCCATGCAGCCTAGGTCCATGATTCCATGCAGCCTAGGTCCATGATTTCCATGCAGCCTAGGTCCATGATTCCATGCAGCCTAGGTCCATGATTCCATGCAGCCTAGGTCCCATGATTCCATGCAGCCTAGGTCCATGATTCCATGCAGCCTAGGTCCCATGATTCCATGCAGCCTAGGTCCCATGATTCCATGCAGCCTAGGTCCATGATTCCACGCAGCCTAGGTTCCACGATTCCATGCAGCCTAGGTTTTTCCATGTAGCCTGTGTCACCATGATTCCATGCAGCCTAGGTCCATGATTCCATGCAGCCTAGGTCCCATGATTCCATGCAGCCTAGGTCCATGATTCCATGCAGCCTACCATGATTCCATGCAGCCTAGGTCCATGATTCCATGGCAGCCTAGGTCCATGATTCCATGCAGCCTAGGTCCCATGATTCCATGCAGCCTAGGTCCCATGATTCCATGCAGCCTAGGACATGATTCCATGCAGCCTAGCTTTCCACGATTCCATGCAGCCTAGGTCCCATGATTCCATGCAGCCTAGGTCCATGATTCCATGCAGCCTAGGTCCCATGATTCCATGCAGCCTAGGTTCCACGATTCCATGCAGCCTAGGTCCCACGACTGCATACAACCTATCTACCACCCCCTGAAATATTAGACTTTCCAGTGACATGTGGATTTTTCCTGTTTGGTATATAATAACAATAAAGTACCCATGGCAGTGATGGACTAAGACCCTTTGAAAGCAAATGAATAATGAAGAAAAGAGAATAGATCGTCAATCTGAAGAGAACTTGTAAGGGGACGTCGGGGGGGGGGGGGGGGGGGAAAGAGGGGGGGGGGGGGGAGGGGGGGGGGGGGGGGGGGTGGGGGGGTTAGGGAGGGGAAGTGGCCAGGAGATATGGCCGGTTTTGAACACACAGAGGAAAGGCAACACGGATATACAGTTTTTCTGCTACTCGTAAATTTAGAAGAGTAACTCTGTGCTGGCTTTCAGATGAGGGTACTGTCCCGAGTGCTATGACGTCAGTTTTAAATTCTTCTAGTTACTCCGACACTGTCTATCATAGTTTGTGTTCCTTAAAGCTACAAGGTTCACTCTTAGGAATGAAACATATGAGTGCTGAGACAGAAGACATTATAATAACCGAGATAGATTGGGTTAACATAACAAAAGAATGGGACTTTTTTTTTTTAAAGTATCCAGAAACCATAATTTGTAAACCTTTGGCTCGGTGCTATGGATAATCGCAACCCTTCGGCCTTGATTCCATGATAGGTACCGTTGATCTGGGAGAAATGTGGCTTTTCTGCCTACCCCCGGGAGTGAACGCGGACCACAAGGAGTTCATCACCCGGCTGCCGCGAAAGTCAGGTTTAACCAACTACGCTAGAGAGTCAGGCAAAAGAATGGGATAGAAAGATAACAGAAGTCTACACAATATCAGGAGCAACCAACGAATGAACTGTCAGTTTCATGGTACTGTAAGAGTTAACAAATCTCAAACTATCTAAATTTAACTCATCTAAAACTCAACTAAACTCCTCGTGTTGGTTCTAGGACCCCATTGGGGAGGGGAGGGGGGAAGAAGACCTACTACTTCCTCACAAGACGACGCACAAGGAGACCTAATCCGGGGTTCTTCTTCGAAGTCGAAATGCACTTGAGTGAGAGACAAATAATCAACAGTCTGTATACAGGTGACATATGGGGCCGCGTTGGCCGGTGAGTGAGAGACAAGTGATCAACAGTCTGTATACAAGTGACATATTTGTAAAAAAGATGTAAATGCAAAAACCAAGTTCTCAAACAAGACTGAAATCCAAAAGTGGGCGAACAGCCAAAACTTTCGGCCGGAGTTTACAGCCGGTAAACGCTAACAAGAAGAACTCTAGAGAACATAACTTAATTAAACTAAACTAAACTTAACTTAAGTAAGTCAGGTCAGTTAAAAAAAATAAGTAATTTTAACGTACCTAAACAAAACTAAACCAAACTTCAAGGAAACTATTCTTAACATTACTGAGACCAACTATGCAAAACTTAACTCATCTGAGCTTAACAAAGCTTTGTTTAACATAGCTAAACTAAAATTTACTCAACCCGTTGAATTCATGTAAGCTTTAAAAAAAAAAAAACCTAACAAGAACTTAGTTTAGCTAAGCTCAACATAACTTTACTCAATTTTTACTCAGTTTAGCTCATTTCAACTTACACGAAGTAGAGCTCGCTTGGTGACGTGGTCTGATTGGGGCTGATGTTTGCTTGACAATGGGAAACAACAAAAAACAATGTCGATTATTTCCTGTGCTGCCTGTCTGCTTGCCTGTCTGTCTGTCTGTCTGTTTGTCGTTGTCTCCTTACCTACCAATCTACTCACTAACTCACCAATCTACCTTCACACAAATCTAGGGCGATAAGTACGACCTCATATCTCTGTCTAGGTTGGTGGATTAAAGAGTGCCACATGGAGCTGCAAGACCGGAACTTTTCTCTATTTGAATAATCCAGACCCAAGTGGCGCGATCAATCACTGTATGCCTGTCCGGATGTGGGGCGGACATCAGAACACCGACGGATCTGTCCGGATGTGAGGCGGATGATCAGAATACCGATGTATCTGTCCGCATGTGAGGCGGATATCAGAACACTGATGGATCTGTCCGGGTGTGAGGCGGAGATCAGAAAACCGAGGGATATGTCCAGATGTGAGGCGGATATCAGAACACTGATGGATCTGTCCGGATGTGAGGCGGATGATCAGAACACTGATGGATCTGTCCGCACGTGAGGCGAATGATCAGAACACTGATGGATCTGTCCGAATGTGAGGCGAACGATCAGAACAGTGATGGATCTGTCCGCATGTGAGGCAGATATCAGAACACAGATGGATCTGTCTGCATGTGAGGCGAATGATCAGAACACAGATGGATCTGTCCGAATGTGAGGCGAATGATCAGAACACCGATGGATCTGTCCGGATGTGAGGCGAATGATCAGAACACCGATGGATCTGTCCGGATGTGAGGCAGATATCAGAAAACCGATGTATCTGTCCGCATGTGAGGCGGATGATGAGAACACCGATGTATCTGTCCGTATGTGAGGCGGATGATCAGAACACCGATGCATCTGTCCGCATGTGAGGCGGATGATCAGAACACCGATGTTTCTGTCCGCATGTGAGGCAGATATCAGAACACCGATGGATCTGTCCAGATGTGAGGCAGATATCAGAACACCGATGGATCTGTCCAGATGTGAGGCAGATATCAGAACACTGATGGATCTGTCCGGATGTGAGGCGGAGATCAGAAAACCGAGGGATCTGTCCGGATGTGAGGTGGATATCAGAACACCGAGGGATCTGTCCGGATGTGAGGCGGATATAAGAACACCGAGGGATCTGTCCGGATGTGAGGCAGATATCAGAACACTGATGGATCTGTCCGGATGTGAGGCGGAGATCAGAAAACCGAGGGATCTGTCCGGATGTGAGGCAGATATCAGAACACTGATGGATCTGTCCGGATGTGAGGCAGATATCAGAACACTGATGGATCTGTCCGGATGTGAGGCGGAGATCAGAACACCGAGGGATCTGTCCAGATGTGAGTCATGACCCATAAGCAGACAAGCCGGAAACAATTTACTGGTGACGAAGATGTGATTTTTGAAAAGAATGCAATGAATGGCATGAAAGGTTAGAAAAACAGGAAGCAGCTCTTATCGACACTGGTGAAAGTTGTCAACTTATTAGAACAATCCGACGGAGACAGTTAATGTTTTTCGGACATGTTTGGAGAAGAAATGGACTTGGGAACTTAATAAAAAAAAGGGTAATATTGGTGGAAAGAGAGCAAGAGGAAGGCAAAGAGATAAATGCCTGGATGGTTTTGCCACAAGGTTCGGCCACAAGGTTTGGCCACAAGGTGTGGCCACAAGGTTTGGCCACAAGGTTCGGCCACAAGGTTCGGCCACAAGGTTCGGCCACAAGGTTTGGCCACAAGGTTTGGCCACAAGGTTCGGCAACAAGGTTTGGCCACAAGATTCGGCCACAAGGTTCGGCCACAAGGTTTGGCCACAAGGTTCGGCCACAAGGTTCGGCCACAAGGTTTGGCCACAAGGTTTGGCCACAAGGTTCGGCCACAAGGTTTGGCCACAAGGTTCGGCCACAAGGTTTGCCACAAGGTTTGGCCACAGGGTTTGGCCACAAGGTTTGGCCACAAGGTTTGGCCACAAGGTTTGGCCACAAGGTTTGGCCACAAGGTTTGGCCACAAGGTTCGGCCACAAGTTTCGGCCACAAGGTTCGGCCACAGGGTTTGGCCACAAGAATACTGACCTGTTCACTGATCCTGGTGATCGTGTGAGACAGCGAAACAATACAGCCTATGCTTATATGCATGATACATGATGATGATGATGATGATGATGATGATGATGATGATGATGATGATGATGATGATGATGATGATGATGATGATGATGATGATGATGATGAGCATTATTAGCATGAGCCCGAAGATCATCTTACCAACGATTATTAAGACTACAGCACGGTTGTCAGTATGTATCCCCATCAACAAAAACATCGCACTGACACCCAAATGGCTAATATCCCCCAGTAACGCACCTAACAAGATACAGTGAAATATGCCTGGAAATAAATTGTGCAATGTATTGTTTGTGTCCACGACATACACCAGTCTGAAAGATCATCACAAAGACTTCAAACAGAAACTCAACAAACGCTGCTGTGATCGAAGTCAAGAACCCACATTTTTCGGGACATTCCAGCACGCGCTCGGTCCCCATATTCAGCAGGCAACGACGAGTTCCAATTGCAAAGGCATCAGTAGCAGTTTTGATTGTATGTCTGTCTTGTCTTTTCTCTGAGTGTTGAGTGTCGTCAATGTCTTCTAGTCACAGCCCGCAAACCATTCTCTCCACACTGTAATGATCTATTGGTGTTTCGCATTGGTAACTTGCTCCCAAAGGGAATTGACCACTAACGTACATTAAGACTACAAACACAATTATCTCAAGCACAACAGTAACAAAACCTGACAATAAAAACAGCATCAAAACGACATCATCAAACACCACCACAAAGATCATCCCGGTCTGATGGTGACTGCAGCAGCCATCGAGTGGCGACTGCATCATCCATTGAGTGGCGACTGCAGCATCCATCGAGTGGCGACTGCAGCATCCATCAAGTGGCGACTGCAGCATCCCTCGAGTGGCGACTGCAGAATCCATCAAGTGGCGACTGCAGCATCCATCAAGTGGCGACTGCAGCATCCATCGAGTGGCGACTGCAGCATCCATCGAGTGGCGACTGCAGCATCCATCGAGTGGCGACTGCAGCATCCATCGAGTGGAGACTGCAGCATCCATCGAGTGGCGACTGCAGCACCCATCGAGTGGCGACTGCAGCATCCATCAAGTGGCGACTGGTTTATAAAGCATGAGTCGAGCACCGTATGTCCAAAACGCCACTGACTAAAAGAGGCTCTTTATTTTACTTTGCAAACACACACACACACACACACACACACACGTAAACAACCCCACAAACACCATCACCAGAATCACCACTGAAAAAAAATCCTCACCACCAACATCAAATATACTCAACCATCACCTTGACAACCGTAACTACCAACCCGATACCCCACCCTACACAAGATCACTGACAACCATCACCTTGACAACCGTAACTACCAACACGATACCCCACCCTACACAAGATCACTAATAACCATCACCTTTACAACCGTAACTACCAACCCACACCCCACCCCACACAAGATTACTGACAAACTCCTCTGCCCACCCCCTCTCCCAAAAATACAATAAATAAACTTACGACAGTGGATCCCCAGGGAGTTGTTGGTTTTCAACAGTTCCACCATTTCTTGGGTGGCGTTCTTAACCCCATACAGCAAGCACGAGCAGTCTCTGCAGGTCAGCCAAGGCAGCTCGGAGGTGAAGGACGCCACCAGGAAGCGGAGGCCCCAGGCTATGACGATGCTGTAGTAGGCGATGACGATAGCGCCGCCTACGATCATTGAGATTCCTAAACCTAGAGGAAAACATTGAGATTCCTAAACCTAGAGGAAAACATTGAGATTCCTAAACCTAGAGGAAAACATTGAGATTCCTGAACCTAGAGGAAAACATTGAGATTCCTAAACCTAGAGGAAAACATTGAGATTCCTAAACCTAGAGGAAAACATTGAGATTGATTGGCTCAAGTTAAAAACATGGACCAAATAACTCATTTCCACCACAGGACTGCTAGCTGCTGTCGTGGAATGATAAGCCATTATGCATCACCCTAACAGAATTGAGACCTGTCTTACCTGGGCTCGACACAACATTCAAACTTGGACTCGTCCGGAAAGGTATATAGTCCCTTATATCGATATATGCCTTTATCGGACATAATTAGAATATCTACATCTTCTAGTTGCTTTGACTTAGCGTCATTTTCAAATTTGCAACTATTGGATAAATATTAGTGGAGTTATTTGAGGTTTCCTAGAAACCGATTAACTCCTTGCTCCTATATACAAGGAACTACTTCTTACCAACGCCTGAATTGAAATTTAGCGGTATTATTCTGCCGGCTTTCCTGGAACTCAGACGTGTCCATCGACGCCAGTACATTTCATTTGAAAAAGGCGGTCTGTGGCGCCTAGGACTTTTCCTATGCTTGGGATGAAACCTTTGTGAAGAGCTGGCAGAAGAATCACAGTCCACCCAACCAACCATCAACCTATTACCTACCAATTATCACCCAACTACCAATTGTGAAGACTGACTTCCTCAAGATGGGGTGCCATATACCCCAAACATCATACAGTGCCAGAGCATGTGTGTAGCTCAGGGACAGTGCTGCGAATGACTAGTGGGAGAGACTTGTTAAGTGCCTATCCAGTGGCTGTGTCCTTTATGGTGAGGTATTCCTTCACCATCTGATCCAGTGGAAGCAGAATTACCAAAGACAGTCGAATCATCAGGAGCTGAGGGAAGCATCAACGATAGAAAGAGGATAAGTGCCAGTTTAATGCCATGTTTTGCTATATTCCTCACAGTTCCCATGTTTCCCGAGGATGATATGTGTTATCTCAAGATCATTCTGGCTGTTTGGTTGTCTTTGTAATCTGGACTTTGTATTCTGGAATCCAGCTATTGAGATCTGTCATCTACCTCACTATTATATATATGTATATGTTGTATTGATTACATGCATTCATTTTCATGGCTGACCTAGGTGTCTCTATTTCACCTTTTTAAGTGTTTAGCATTTGTGTGTGTATGAATCTTAAATATATGTGTTAACATGGTTATGATAATGAACTATCATAACCTGGGAGCTTTCTTTAGTAAGTAGTGGGGGTGTCCAGCCAAGTGTGCCTAGGAATATTGTATTCATATACAGATATATTTTGTAGTGCCAATACTTGAGTTGCCCTTCTCCAGAAATAAGTTGAGAGTATATTGGCCACGGGGAATCCCTTAGACCAATACGAGCCAAACGACTCAACATAATTATTTCTGAGTGCTGTTGGTTCTGAAGGAGAAATCCTTATTTCAGGCACATAACAGGAGTGATATGTGACAGCTGCAACAAGTCAGCCGTTACCGGCGCTCCTGTAACTTCTCTATCTATTTGTCCAGAATATTTAGGTTTCTGAGGTAACGCACAGGCTGATGGATTAGCTGCTGCCGCCCTTCTAGACGGTAAGCTACTCTATGATTTTGAAAAACGTGGTAAAGGCTCTTTGTGATCAAATGAACAGTGCAGCAGAGCAGATTGGAATCCATACATTGACTGACTAACTCAACGTAGCGTGCGGTAGGCGTGTTTTGGACCACATTGAATACTAAGGTGGAAACAAAGGCGCTCTTGTAATCAGGCTGCAGATAGTACTATTAGGATGTCTTCTCTTCGTTAGCTGCTGAAGAAGGGGATGGAGCAAGCGTGGGAATGTCCTGAGGCAGCGATGTCAATTCGATAATTAATAGGATGTATCTTTGACCTACTGTTTTTTTTTCCCACCCAAGTGAACCCAGATAGCGTAGCTACAGGCTCGCCTGCAGACCTAGACGTTTGGCTTGTTTGCCTTCCATCCTCACTGACTAAAAATTTTTTTTTAAATTGACACGTGCTCCCACGTCGAACCAGTCTCAAATGGACACCAGATAAAAGCTTGGGAAGTAAAAGCGGCCGGAGTGATACTGACTACCTAATCTATCTAGTCCTGTCTTTAAAAACATATGCGTCTGGCAGCATACGCGCTATGAACCACTGGCACACAGAGTCATTTGTCACCCAGGATGGGGTCCTGGAAGGTCCACGGGGGATCATTCCTGCAGAAAGCAGCCCGGAAGGGACAAATAAAAGACGAGGAAATATTGATTGCTACTATACCTCAAGTGGTATCGGCATGGCTCGACCATAGCCTGCTAGTCTGAAGGTCTGAGAGTTCGAATCCGTTTCGAGGTAGATTTTATGTAACAAATATTGACTTCCGGGTTGGCCAAACATAAAGTGGGTACCAGGAACTTTCCTGGGAGGTAAAGGCTGTGGGCAGGATGTTGAGATTTTTCAAATTGACATAGTTCCTTATAGTCAACTTAGGCTGTCTGTCTATCTTCACAGCTTAGTGTCTGTCTGTCCGGTTATCTATCTCCTGTCTGCTTGTTTCACTGCCTGCTGTCTTTCTTTATAAATGTCTTTCTAGAGGTCTCCCTTTTCTACGCGTGCGCATCTCTGTCTCTCTTCTTGTCGAACTATGTGTCTGCCTTTGTGTCTGTGTCACTGTATGTTTGTCCACATATGTGTCTGTCGGCCAGTCAATCTATGAGAGCACAAGACAACGAAACTTACCTTTGAATGCAGGATTGATTGTCCATATACTTAGAGGTCCCTTGCCGCCATATTGTCCAAAGGCGCACTCCATCGCAAAAATTGGAATTCCCAGAAAGATGAGGCTCAGGGTGTAGGGAATGAGAAAGGCACCTGGCAAAAGATCAGCATTTTTTATAATGTTTAGACTCGGAGACTTGGGAAAGATCATAGGCAATGAAGTACCTGGGGATAAGGTTTAATCGCAGCCTGTCTTTACCTTCCAGGTCGACTTAACATTGAGTGGGTACCAGGTGTAGACTGGGAAGTAAAGCGGCCGGCGTAATGCTGACCACATCACCCACCAAAAAACGGATTGGTTTATAACAAATATAGGTTTAGCCCTATATTCCCAATGGGCCTAAAGCCTGGAAAATGGATTTTACTTTTACCTTTGTATCAGGGTCTGGTCCTTTCTGTCCTTGGGTATGTGATGGCGATCCTGACGCTCAGTAATAAGCAGTTGTAGAAGATGGAAAGGATACAGAACGAGGCTATGCGCATTGTACCTGGGTTTACAAGATATACAGCATATATGTGCAACAGCAGCAGAAGCGGCAGAGCAGGGAGAAGGCGGGGAAAGGGAAAGGGAATAAAAAGCAGCATGGCGGGAAGAGTAGGATAAAGAAGAAGAAGAAGAAAAAGAAAAGAATTTATTTGAATGAAAGTTGCTGTATTTTTAATATAACAAACTTCGACTTGATTTGTTGACTCCTTCAGGTCTGCAAACTCGCGCTATACCAGGTCATCTGAAACAAGTAAATGTTACCAAGTGAACCAGCGTCAGTGGTTTATGCGTTGCAAACGCTCTTAGCAATTCCATGATAGCCGGTTCGATTCCAACTGCGGGCGACTGGGCAGCTGATCGGTTTGCGTTGGCTTCGACATTGGCACAGAGTGCTGATCGTTGAGTTAGAAACTACAAACTGTTCAACGTAAAATTGACTGACAAAATCAAGCACACAAATGCTGAGGTTGGTTTGCAACGTCCTAGATAGGAAACACAGTTAACTTGTGATTTCCCCGTCTGGGTTCCGGTGTTCCATTGTGGGGAAAACCTAAACAGTGCCTCCCTAACAAACAAGTCGCAAAAGTCGACTAATTGGGAGCTTTCGTCGAATTCAGGGCGCTTCTGTCCAAGTGGCAAGGAACAAACACACACAAATAAGCCGATGAAATGCATGTACACGCACAACTCAGGTCTTGGCACAAGGCCAAAGTCCAAACGGACCAAGAGCCAATATTCTACGTAGCCGGTGAACAAAGAAGAAGAAAAAGAAGAACTTGTGTTTTCCCAAGAGAAGACATGTAAACACACTGACCTCCACCGTTATTAAAGCAGAGATATGGGAAGACGTGCAAACTCACAGACCTCCACAGTTCTTGAAGCACGGGAAGACGTGCAAACACATTTACCTCCACCGTTCTTGAAGCAGAGATAAGGGAAGACGTGCAAACACATTTACCTCCACCGCTCTTGAAGCAGATATAAGGGAAGAGCTTACCTCAACCGTTCTTGAAGCAGAGATAAGGGAAGAGCTTACCTCAACCGTTCGTGAAGCAGAGATAAGGGAAGAGCTTACCTCCACCGTTCTTGAAGCAGATATAAGGGAAGAGCTTACCTCAACCGTTCGTGAAGCAGAGATAAGGGAAGAGCTTACCTCCACCGTTCGTGAAGCAGATATAAGGGAAGAGCTTACCTCAACCGTTCGTGAAGCAGAGATAAGGGAAGAGCTTACCTCCACCGTTCGTGAAGCAGAGATAAGGGAAGAGCTTACCTCAACCGCTCTTGAAGCAGATATAAGGGAAGAGCTTACCTCAACCGTTCGTGAAGCAGAGATAAGGGAAGAGCTTACCTCCACCGTTCGTGAAGCAGAGATAAGGGAAGAGCTTACCTCCACCGTTCTTGAAGCAGAGATAAGGGAAGAGCTTACCTCCACCGTTCTTGAAGCAGAGATAAGGGAAGAGCTTACCTCCACCGTTCGTGAAGCAGAGATAAGGGAAGAGCTTACCTCCACCGTTCTTGAAGCAGAGATAAGGGAAGAGCTTACCTCCACCGTTCTTGAAGCAGAGATAAGGGAAGAGCTTACCTCAACCGCTCTTGAAGCAGAGATAAGGGAAGAGCTTACCTCAACCGTTCTTGAAGCAGAGATAAGGGAAGAGCTTACCTCAACCGCTCTTGAAGCAGAGATAAGGGAAGAGCTTACCTCCACCGTTCGTGAAGCAGAGATAAGGGAAGAGCTTACCTCCACCGTTCTTGAAGCAGAGATAAGGGAAGCGCCAGACATTTCCCAGTCCCACAGCAAAACCGATCAGCGTCAGCACGAACTCCAGCTGCCTACCCCACTTGCCTCTCTCCTCTTCTACCTGCAACAGCCAGTCATGTGAAGTCAAGGATATTCTCTACCTGCAACAGTCAGTCTGGTTAAGTCAAGGATATTCTCTACCTGCAACAGTCAGTCATGTGAAGTCAAGGATATTCTCTACCTGCAACAGTCAGTCATGTGAAGTCAAGGATATTCTCTACCTGCAACAGTCAGTCATGTGAAGTCAAGGATATTCTCTACCAGCAACAGTCAGTCTGGTCAAGTCAAGGATATTCTCTACCTGCAACAGTCAGTCTGGTCAAGTCAAGGATATTCTCTACCTGCAACAGTCAGTAATGTCAGGTCAAGGATATTCTCTACCTGCAACAGTCAGTCTGGTCAAGTCAAGGATATTCTCTACCTGCAACAGTCAGTCTGGTCAAGTCAAGGATATTCTCTACCTGCAACAGTCAGTCATGTGAAGTCAAGGATATTCTCTACCTGCAACAGTCAGTCATGTGAAGTCAAGGATATTCTCTGCCTGCAACAGTCACTCATGTGAAGTCAAGGATATTCTCTACCTGCAACAGTCAGTCATGTGAAGTCAAGGATATTCTCTACCAGCAACAGTCAGTCTGGTCAAGTCAAGGATATTCTCTACCTGCAACAGTCAGTCTGGTCAAGTCAAGGATATTCTCTACCTGCAACAGTCAGTCTGGTCAAGTCAAGGATATTCTCTACCTGCAACAGTCAGTCTGGTCAAGTCAAGGATATTCTCTACCTGCAACAGTCAGTCTGGTCAAGTCAAGGATATTCTCTACCTGCAACTGTCAGTCTGGTCAAGTCAAGGATATTCTCTACCTGCAACAGTCAGCCACGTCAAGTCAAGGATATTCTCTACCTGCAACAGTCAGTGATGTCAAGTCAAGGATATTCTCTACCTGCAACAGTCAGTGATGTCAAGTCAAGGATATTCTCTACCTGCAACTGTCAGCCACGTCAAGTCAAGGATATTCTCTACCTGCAACAGTCAGTGATGTCAAGTCAAGGATATTCTCTACCTGCAACAGTCAGTCACGTCAAGTCAAGGATATTCTCTACCTGCAACAATCAGTCACGTCAAGTCAAGGATATTCTCTACCTGCAACAATCAGTCTGGTCAAGTCAAGGCTATTCTCTACCTGCAACAGTCAGTCTGGTCAAGTCAAGGATATTCTCTACCTGCAACAGTCAGTCTGGTCAAGTCAAGGATATTCTCTACCTGCAACAGTCAGTCTGGTCAAGTCAAGGATATTCTCTACCTGCAACAATCAGTCTGGTCAAGTCAAGGATATTCTCTACCTGCAACAGTCAGTCTGGTCAGGTCAAGGATATTCTCTACCTGCAACAGTCAGTCTGGTCAAGTCAAGAATATTCTCTACCTGCAACAATCAGTCTGGTCAAGTCAAGGATATTCTCTACCTGCAACAGTCAGT